CCGCCACATCGTCGCTTCAGGGGCTGCGCGCCTGCGCCGCCGCGGCCCGCAGGTTTTATCTTCCCGCCTCGAGGAGCGCGCATGCGCCCCACTCTAAGGAAACAAGCGGGGTGTACGCAGCGTCTCAACCGAAGCGCCTTTGCCACGCATGCGCCCTCCGTCCTGGGCTTTCCCACACTGCGTGGACTTCAATTCCCATCGTTCCCGCTCGAACGTTTTGCTCGTCAGGCCTTGTGGGAGTTGGAGGCGATGCGGAGGGTCGCGGCTTTCAGCTTGGAAGGTTCTCTTGTAGCAGGATCGTGGGAATGGTTCAAAAGAGGTTAAAAACATGGCTTTAACCACAATTAGGGGCAAAAACGACTTGTGACAGTCAGTCATAGATTTTGGACAAAAGAGGCCAAACTTCCTTTTTAGAAACCTTTAGTGGGAATTTTTTAAAAAAATCTTGTGCAAAGCAAATCCTTTTGGTGCATCTCTCCAAGTCCAAAGGATTATTTTAAAAATTTGCTGCTGTTACATTAAACCCATTCTTTGAAAAGCCTCATTTTGTCTAGATAGTAAAAACATGATTTTTTCCCCCTCTTGGGGAAGAACCTTTTATTATATGCATTTTTATACACAACAAAAATTCAACACAAACGCCATGAATTACACATGAAAGAAAAATCATAACTATTTTAAGAAATCTTTCAGAAAAGGAGTGACTATAAATATTTCAATATATTCACAAGAATAAAATTGTTAACAAATTAGGATCTCTATTATTCCACTTATTTTCTCCCTTTCAATATATTCAGTATAAAATACGTTCAGAATTACTTTTCTTGGCAGAAAAGATTCATAGAGTTTAATTGATACTCACCTTAGCTGTGCAGTTAAAAATACAAAGAACTGAATTAATCTCATGGTAACATGAAGAAAACATAAATGTTACATCCTTGCACAGGTTCCTGAATTTTCCATATTCAATTTTTGTCACAAACACTTTTATTTTGATTAAACCAATCCATCAAGACATCCACCTGTTCATTTTGTAGCTGTATATCCTGCTGAAGACTTGAATTATGACAGAAATACCTTAATCATTTAGCAGCCTTGGCTATAGCATAAAATCGGAGAAAAATCCGAAATTTATATTTTAAAGTCTCAAGGTAGCCACAGGGAAACATGGGAACACACTTAACATTCTCTCACTGAATTAATGGGCCTTAATAATATATACATAGCTTCACTGCTCCCTAAATACCTTTTCCAATAAAATTAATATGGTTTTGTCAACATGTAGGAATAGGGTCTCATAATAATATCTGGTTTTGGTGCAATGAAATTATACATAGCTTCACTGCTCCCTAAATACCTTTTCCAATAAAATTAATATGGTTTTGTCAACATGTAGGAATAGGGTCTCATAATAATATCTGGTTTTGGTGCAATGAAATTATACATAGCTTCACTGCTCCCTAAATACCTTTTCCAATAAAATTAATATGGTTTTGTCAACATGTAGGAATAGGGTCTCATAATAATATCTGGTTTTGGTGCAATGAATTTAAAAACCCACTACAGTTTTGCTTTCTTTCTATTCGCTACTGACAAAAGAGCTACTGGCTTGGAGGCCAGGCACCCAGCATTTTTTTTATAAACCAGATACAAATACGTTTTTACATTACCTTCCACCAGAATTCAACTGAGAGTTGTTGGTGGCAAAATCTCCCAAGCTAATGAAAAATACGGAAGTTTCCCTTTCCATACAAGACAATTCAGTCTCAATATTAGACTAAAGAATACAGCTCAATTTAAGGATGCATTTCTGATTTCCCAAATACAGCTGAGTGAATTCTAACATCAAACAGCTATCCCTTAATTTTATTTTGAGATACAGCAGGAAGTGACTTAACCAGGACATTCCATCAGCAGCATGAAAACTCCCAGTCTAATTTCAGAAAATTCACAGGCATTCCACATTGGCAACACTGCAAGTGAACGCTGGTGATTATGGAGGTTGGATTTTAATTCATCTGATGCCACCATTGATTAGAAGGAACAAAGGAACAAAAGACGGGCTCAGACTGTCTTCATCAAATGGCAGATACTGAAAACCCCGTGTAACAGCAATAAATTAGAGCGTTTCAAGAGAAAGGAGAGTTTGTAACCTCATAGAAACCCAAATGGTGGTGCAGTACATGAAAGGTGGAAAGTCTTTGGTGTATGCAGTTTTGAAACCAATGGACCTTCCTTGAACCTTTGCCTTTCTGTCTCAGTCGGCCTATAGACTGTTGCACCAGGATATCCATGCTCCTCCATCGCGCACAAAACGAAAGGATTGACAGAAATTCACTAAATGCAACCAGAGTTCCTCAGGCTAGTTCCGTGACTCCAGAGAAGTTGGACTGCGAACTGTCGACATCAAGTGCGACTTGTAGGTCTTACTCAAGCCCGTCATCCAGAACTTCAGAAGCTTGACATTATCCTCTTCAGAGGCTCCCAAGATACTCAGCAACTTTTGGGTATCTTCCTTGGGCCTGCTGTCCACTTTGGTGAACTTAAAGAGGACCTTCACTTTACTGCAGAAGGCAAAAAATGAGAACCATTCGTTACATACATTCCAAACGCTTCCCCGGGCCAGGTTTTAAAAAATGAGTTTCTGGGGACCACGCGGCACTACTCCCTTCCTTCCTTAAAGGAAGCCTCCAGAAGATAACTGACTCTAGAAGCCAACTGCTTCTCAAGCTAAAACTCCGCCTTACTTCATCCACTCCTCCTTCAGGCAAACAAGGCACTGGTCCACCACATCCACCGAGAGGTTCTGGTTCATCAGAGCAGCTTCAATCTTGTTCAGGATGGTAGGACCAACTGCAGTTGGGAAGAAAGGCTTGAATATCAGCTAGCTTTTCTACCATTCCCTCTTAATCAGCACCGCATTTATCAAATGCCTTTTCTTAAGTTTCGCACACATCTACTGATACTTTGTGGAGGGGTTTTTTGGTTGCTTCGAGTCAGTGTTGACTCCTGGCGACTGCATGGACTAGTCCCTGCAGTTTTCTGGGCAAGATTTCAGAAGTGATTGGCCCTTGCCCTCTGCCTTGGGCCAGCCCCTCTCTCTCAGCCCCAGGAAGGAGGCGGCCAGGGCCAACCACTTCTGAAAAACCTTGCCAAGAAAACTGCAGGGACTAGTCCAGGAGTCAACGCTGATTCAAAGGCCCCCCTCCCCAATACCTTATATAAACGAAGAAATACAAGCGTGCCAGCTAACAGCAAACAATTTAAATCTGACTGGGGTAAGGATAAAAAATAAGCATTTCTTCAAATTACACAGAGTTCTCCACCAATATCCCCTTTGCAGTTTGTAACTCAGATCAAGTAAGAAAATGTGGTATTTGCAGTCTGCAAGTGGGCAGAAAAACTTTTAGATTACATCTGGCTTGGCAACAGGGCCTCCTTCAGAAACCTCCCTAAGGTTCACATAACACCTTTTTGCCCGTAGATCTGCACCCATTTAATCCTGGGTTGCCCATTCCGGTTTACAGAAAGAATCGGGTTTTGGCCCTGAGAGCACTGACTCTCTCGCCACATCTTGCAAATCCAGAATTTTGCTAAATGTCCTTCAAATGCTCCCAATTGACAGAAAAATGATTCATCTTGTAAATTCACCTACACTATGAGCTAGCCAAGCAGATAATAAAGATGAATAGAAATGGTTTTAAAGACAAATATATTTCAGGGCATCAATCCATCTTTTTTCTCCTGCATTTCCAGCTGCATAACAAATGTCTTTCAAAGTTACGAAGGAAGTTCTTTTTTAAAGCGTCATGACACAACTCCTTTTGTTTCGCAAACTACAAGTCAGACAGCACTTTGACCCTCTCCCGAAATGGCTCTGACTTGTCGCGTGTGGCTCACCTCTGTCTGCTGCCAGAGGGCTGCCGCTGGTAACAACGAACTCGTATTTACTGAGGGGCTGGTCATCCTCAAACAGGACAGGGTAAAGGCTGGACCTCGTAGCAGTGCGGACTTCCACAAGGACGGCAAATTCTGGAGCGGGAAACGACGTTTATCCATACCACCCCTCTGGAGTTGTAGGGGCAGTAAAGGGAGCCAGCCTAAGCAACTAAAACGTTAACATCCCTGCATCCGGGGCACCAACCTACTTTACTGGCCATAAGGGGTTTCCATCCCCCACGCAAAGGGTTACCGATCTTTTCTACCAGCCCAGGGAGGGGAGAGAAAGAATCGCTCTTACCAGATGACAATACGTGAGACGGGATTTGCACTTGGGTGCCAAGGCCCAAGAAGTTACACCGGTAAGCCTCCTCGTATTGGTCGCTGTAAGGGATGATCCGAACGCAGCCCACAGGCAACATGGTCTAGCAAACGAAAGAGACGGCGGGTGAGAATCCAGTTGCAAGCACAAATTTCGTCCACCCAAAGTGGTTTGCAAACCAGTACGTGGAACGCTGTCTTCTGAATACGGGCAGGGGTGACTGGGCACAGCTCCCCAAGATTTAACAGAAGAGCCTAATCTGAAGATACAAGCCCTGAAACGGGCTCTCGGCATGCAGGACATCCAGGCTATCGTGGAATAATAACAACAATAACACCTATTATTATTATTATTATTATTATTATTATTATTATTATTATTACTCCTACTGCGATATACATCACTCGGTTTCTAGAGGCTTTGAATGGCCGACAGTATCAATACCACAAGATTAAGACCAAAAATTGATGAACGCGATCCTAAACAATTCAAGGCACCACCATTCAGGGTTGGGGAAGACCTAGAGGACTACAACTCTGGGGGTCACACCCCAATTATGACATCAGGGCAGACCAGCAAATCAGAAACCGGTTAGTACAGGATGGGGCGGAGAAAGAAGCGCAGGATTTCCTACCCGCAGGACATCAAAGGCGGACTGGATGAGGTCTCGATCCTGCGCTTTCCAGATGACCTGGTTCCCCATGAGGACATGCCACGCCAACATGCGGAAAGCCGAGGACCCCAAGACCTGGGGAAGGCACAACAAACATGCTTAAAGGCTTCCTCCTCCCCCCCTCAAAAAAGGATGCTATCTCACTCATTTCCTTTTACGTTCCTTTACTTTTACTTTACACCGTGTTTCCAAAGTTCTGGATGTTGCCGCCCTTTTATTTAAAATAGTTCTCTGTCACCGTTTCCTGTGTGTCCCTGTGTACTTTGGAAGCATCCAAGAGCCCCCCAAAAATGTCCAGATGGGAAAAGCCCCCGTTCTGACCGATGGCACCCCATCTCCCCTCCTC